ATAGACTTTTGAGGCATTTTAAAACATTGGCACATTTTTCATCAGTCACTGACTCATTACACCACCATTGTATATGAAAAATGTAAACAACAAATTTTAAATTTTCTTTAAAATTTAATATTTGTCATAAAGGTATGTTTTGAAGTCTATTAATCAATTTAAGGATTAATTTATGGAGTTTAACCTCTATACACCAATTTACAGTATCTAATTATCATACTATTCTGATTTAGTGAATTTTATTGGATAATAAATATTTGAGTAGATTTACTGTGTATTTACTCTTGCTGATAATAAATTTTGTACATTCTAAACACAAAGTGGATCCAAATTTTTGTTTTTGTAAATGCTATTGCCAATTGGTCAATATATATGAAAAATGGCAACAACACTCATGCAATAATGTTTAAAGTGAGTTAACCACCAAAATTTATAGACGTGTTTGTGAGCCTATCACATGACTACAAAATAAATAAATTCAATGCACAAGGAAACCTCATCAGTGAGCATTTTTGCATGACTAGCAATTGCCAAACTAGTCCACGACACTTGAATCATTGAAATACTACGTTAGAATTTCAATTTCTTCAACACAAAAACAACTTCATTGCAATTTAAGTTAAAATATTCAACTCAATCAATCACTCACCAACTTCTGGATTCATTTATCACTTACTGAAAACTTCTCAATCACAGTATTGATTTTCGACTGAATCTACAGAACATTTTTACACCATAATTTATTGTTCATCAAGTTTAATTCTCAACTTTTCATTTCAGAAACTGTTTTACAAACTGTTTAAAATTGAATTTAAACAAGTTTTATCTAATAACAAATATCGAAATTTCACATATTATATAAGACAAAACATTAAATTCAGTGAACTTGTGGGGTTCAGCGTACCCGGATTAAAGGAGAATTTAATACGGGATACCCTGCCCACAAAATACAACGCAAATTTCAAGAAGAAACAACACGATAAGGAACGTTTATAGAAAATACAACATTGTATATTTATTATCTTGTGAATAGGGTAAAAAGGATTAATGCTTTAGTTTGTTTAAGCAAAATTGTGATTTTGATGAAAATGTCTGTGTTCGCTGTCTTTTAACAGAGTAGTAGAATAATGTCTGTTTCTTTTGTTTTGTATAGTTGTAAAATGAAAAAGGGGCGAGCAATTTAAGTTGAAAAAGAGAGTGTGAATGAGGAATAAAGATAAAAGGAAAATGTACTTATGAATTGTTTTGGAGTCAGTTGTAAATTTGTTGTTGTTGTTGTTCTTTCCTACTCCACTTTCGGCTCTTTGTGTCAGTTTGAGTCAGTGATGAAATTTACTGTCAATCTTCTGTGATCTTTTGCGCCCTTCTCTGACTGACTGGCGACTGACTTGAAAACTCTGTATTTATTGTTGACTTTTTTTCACACTGGCTCGTTATCTTTTTTTTGGTTTAGCAAATCGCCTCCTTTCATTGGTCCGAAAATTAATTTCACACCTTATTGTGAAATCTGTTTTTGGTCGTTTTGATCTGATTTTGCGCGTGTGCAAATCTACTTTGTGTTTTTTTAGTCATTTGTTGGAATATAGGATTTGTATCCTATAAACTCAACCTCACATAACACTGAACATTATAAGAGTTTAAAAAGCAAATTTAAAATCCACCAACCAAATGTCTCATTTACTAAAATTCAACCAACACATATTTATTGTGTATTTTATGTTATATAAGATATTCTTATTGTTGTTGTTATCAGAGATTCGTTGTTTGTGTCCTATTTATATTTAATCAATGTTGTTCCATTTTCTAACATTTATGACCCAACAAAATAGTTAATTAGCATGTCTCCACCACAAATTAACTGGATTTTCTAAAAGTAATGCTTACCTTTTACTTAAAGTGGAATTAAAATGTTTTATTTATGCATGTGAGGTCAAAGGAAAAAGTAAAAAGACTAATTCTGTTCCTATTCAAAAACGTGTGGAGGCAGAGGAAGTAAAAATAAAAACTAAATAAATACAGAAGCGTGATAATCAAAAATTTGTTATTTATGATGATTTCTAAGTATAGTCCAGATGTAGCACAAGGCTAAATGTATGGTGTGGATTGAACTCACTATTCAGTTATAATTGATCTAGCAAAACAAGCTTGCTAACCATTACACCACATTGAATCATCACACAAAGATTATTTATGTTTAAAAGTAAATTTTCTTTAACCTTATATAACCACTAGTTTAAGAATATCATTTTTTATTCTATACACTTAGTATTAAACTTAGTATAATGAATAATTTTATTTTTTATACTGATTGAACAGAAGATATGAAATTAAATTAAAATCATAATACTACTCCAATATTGAATCAATGAGAAATATCAAAATTATTTTCTTTTTGTACATCCATGTAAAAAAATAATTTAACAGTTACTAAAAGGAAAAAATAAAATAAAATTAATTTAAAAAGTGACATTAAATTTTACATGTTTTAAATTTTTTCTTTATTTAATAGAATAAACGCTTGTGATGAATATCAATGGGATTAATTTCAAAATTGCACAAAAAAATTTCATGTATTTTTTTTTTTTAATAAATATTAGGTTTAGATATTTTTTTGTCAAATCTAAAAGAAAATAGCATGTTTTATTAAATTATGCATGCACCAATTCACAAAAGATTTTTTTTGAGTTCTATTGAATTTTGCAGGGGCAAGATGTGAGCCAAATTTTTTGTATGTTCACAGTCGATAAATTTTCACTGAGTGAAAATATATCTTCAGAGATTTATAAATTCACTTTCATTATACATTTAGGTTTTATCACACTTCAAATAATCGATTTTTAAATCAATAAACATGGTTGAGGAGTGAAGGTAGTTAAAATAAAAACAGTGTCAAGGGAAAAAATCATCCTTTTGGCACACTGTTTTTAATTATTTTTTTTTGTAGTGGGGGGGGCGGTGATTCATAAATTAAAATAAAAATCTTTATCACCGATGTAAAGGTTATAATAATAATAAAAAAGGCTAATTCGATAAATTATGCAATGGAAATACATACTAGTGATGCAAATAACAGTGACTCTTTGCCTTTTTTTAAATAGATACCACCAAAAGGTGTTTCTTTAAAAATGGAAGCAAAAATTGCTCTGCCTCTGCCCCCCTGTTTTAAGGATTTGGTAAAAATAAGGGAGTTACCATATTCAAAAAAAATATTCAGTATGTATTCATTAACAAATGAATTGTATACTGACTAGGTCATTTTATTAAAAAAAAAACTTTGTGAAAATATTTTGGGGCAGAGTCTCTTTCATGCCCACTTTTCAAAATCTTGTGTGTACTTTTTAATTTGTTGTTGTAGGGGTGGTGGGGTCGCGAATTCTTTTTAGATTTAAAGAAAATTCCCTGAAGATGTTATTTCAGTAAAAATATTTATGCAATATCAAGTGTGACGAATTTGTCCTGAATCTTACTGTGAATAATTCAATAAAACTCAAAAAATAAATTTTCCTTACAAGTTGGTGCTTGCATAAAACATTATTTGCTTTCAGATTGGACAGAAAAAAAATACACAAAATATATTGAAAGAAAAATACTTGTAATTTTTTTAGTGCGATTTTGAAATTTATCTTGTTGCTGTTTGAAGAATCAAAAAGTAAAGTTTAATGCCATTTTCAAGTGTGAACCGTTTTTAAAACATTTTTTTCATTTTAGCAACTGTTAGATTATTTTTTGTATGGGTGTACAAAAAAGAAATAATTCTGAATCACCGCTTTTGACTACTTTTCCGTATCCGAAGAATAATAATTCAGTAACTTTTAAATTCAGAATAATTAAAAAAAAAAGCCTCATCGAGTGCAACTCAATATTTTATGATATCAAACAGGTAAGAAAATAAAAAAGAATTTAATTAAAATCTAGTGAAATTATACTTTTGAGTTTAATTCATTGCATAAAACAATAAAAAAAGCAATGAATTAAACTCAAAAGTATAATTTCACTAGATTTTAATTAAATTCTTTTTTTATGCTTACGCTGATGTAATCTAAAAATAAATTTGTTAAGTTTACTAAGCTTAAAAACCGTAATAAAAATATTTTCTTAAAAATAATTTATTTTTAATCATAAATACCAATTTATGGGATATTTCACTGTTGGTGTTTCTTATTTCTTCAATTTTCATTTTTGCGCGCTTTTTAAGTTAGGGGTGAAATTATACAGTTTCTGTTTTTGACCTATGACATCACAAGCGTAAATAAACGTGATTTTCATCATGTTTCTAGTAAGAAACAAGCATTACTTTTAGTTTTACAAAACCTAATTAATTAATCCTTAATTTTACTGATTTACTTTAAAACACATCTCTAAAACAAATATTGGATTCTTAAAATTAAAATATATTTAAAATTTTGTTTGTTTACATTTTTTCGTGATGACAGTGCGATAAGAACGTGCCAATGTTTTAAAAATGCTTTAAAAATGTTATTTGTATACGGAAATTCATTTTTCTTTTAATACAGTTTAACACTGATCTTTAAAATAAAACCAAAATTTAACTTTAAAAAAAGACATAAATGATTTAAAATGCGTTTTTCGGAGTCCGTAGCGGTCTCTAGTTTTTAAAGAGCCAGAACACATGTTAATTGAAATGCCATCTTGCATGCAAGTGTATATATTTGCACTCATAAACAATACTGATATGCATTACAAGCATTTTTTTTTTATTTTGTTTAATTTCCCTTTACAATATAAAAATGCAATTTCTTTTATTTTAACGGAGATGTTTTTCAGTTGAAAATATTTTTCATTACTGTCTTAAAATTTCGAGGTCACCATTGCATGGAGAGTAGAGATTGAGGCTTGGGTTTTTATTTATGTCAGTCAGTACAAACATGGCAGACCAAAAACTGTTGCCTTACCTACCAGTGGAGGTAGTTGTACAGATCTTATGCTGCGAAGAAGTGTCCCATGTCGATATTTGTAGGCTGTCCCTCACTTGCCAGAGAATGAGGGAAATCTGTTACACGGAGGAAATATGGAGATGTAAATACAGACAGAGGTGCGTGCATTTTTTTTGACTATCAAACCAACTCATGAACTACGGTAGTACCAGCTAGGTCGAGAAATCAACGAAGAAAAACAGTCATATTTATTTTCATACTACGAACGGATAAAAAAAAATGTATAATTCTAATTAATTACAATATATGCTAGTATTTTAATGTGGCGAAGTGAAAATTATAAAGAATTTATACATGTCGAATTTATTCTTTTCATTTGCGGTACTATAACAAAATGGGACCGTTAAAGTAAAAAAGAAAAACTTTCTATAAAAAAAGTGATTTTAAAATTAAAAATATTACAAAATTATGTCTTAAATGAAATTTGATGCTTCTGTAATTTTTAGATAAATTAATAATTTGTTTCCTAGTAATAAATTGCGATGTTTTTGTATATGAGAAAAAGAAATCATTAATAATAATCGAAGGTTCATTTCATATTTCTTTTTTATAATTTAATTTTTTTTAATATTTTTATGTTTTTAGTTTTACACGTGGCATATTTTCTCTCTCAAATGTGCATTTTCTGTTTTTACCGCTTCATTCAAAATTTAAATTAAGGAAATATTCCAATTTTAGTTAATTAATGACTTTCTAAGGCTAAGGTTTAAAATTCTTGACGTTTCGGTTTATTGTTCTTTTCGCCATCCGTAGTAAAAAGTTGAAAAATCGTTTTTCTTTTTCAATTTTACAGTTATTGTTTTTATTTTTAAATGCCATTTTATTTTATTACTGATCACTTAAATTTCCATTTGTGAAATAATTTCTATATTGAATTTATTTACAACAGACTTAAAATCTATATTTTTTATTTGCCTTGTTGAACTTAAATTTTTACTTTAAATTTAAAAATAAAGCAAAATAATAAAAAAAATGTGGTTTCAAAATGGGAGTGTTTATTTTGTTTTGAGAAGGAAAAAATAAACTGATTCTAAAAGAAAAATACAAGTTTTGTTATTAAAATAAAAATGATTTAAATGTATACAAGTTACACTATTTTAATTATTTCAGAAATATAGACAAGCAAGTAAGTATATTGGTTAAGTAAATTAATTTCATTTTTATTCATTTGACAATATGGCATTGTGAGATTTCTTTGTGAGAAGAAAACTAAATAAGTCAACTAGTAGATTTTACAAGAAAGTCATCACTCGTGGAATTTTTAACATTTTTATTTTTTCGGATCCACTTTGAAACCATTATTTACAAATATGCCCTGAAGTTGCGTATCCAACTATGCTCAGTTTGTGTACTTTGTTTATAAAAGAAAATTGTTTATACTGTACGAGTGGATGCTGAAAATTTCTCGGCCCGACCAAACTGACCCTGGCCTTTTCGCTAAGAATATAGATCATCTTGTCAGGTTTTTGGGACTAGGTCTGGCCAAGAACCTTTGAACCACATACTCTTTTTAACATCCTGGAGAGAGACTTAGTGTTTTTATTTTAAAATTTAACAAAGAAAGATTGTTTCGAAGAAAAAAAGGACCATTGTATTTCAAGAGGATAACGCTTCTTATGTCAGGCAATCTTTGTAATTAAAAGTGCTCCATAGTAACAACTTCTTCTGTCCCTATTTGGAGTTTCGCGTATATAGTATCCATTGGTCAAGAAGGCTTGATAGAAAAATTTAATTTATTTTGAAGCTTGGAATATGGATTTTTCGTTTTGTTCTTTCCAGTATTGAAAAAAAAATAAATCGTTCATTTGGGTTGTTAACTGGGCACTAAGGAATAGAAATTGCTGTCTAGTTTTTTCACTCATCAGTTGTGTATGCAATTAGAGCAGGGCCGGTGCAAGGGTTTCGCCCCCCACCCCCGAATCTATGATATGGGGCTCCACTATACTACATCTCAATTTTCATAAGGTAGTATTCATATAAAATACTTTTTTTTTTATTTTTTTATTTTTTTTTTATTGTAACCTGATTATGTACAATGATGGATCATATGCAATGTAAGTGAACAATTCAACTAGAAAAATTGAAAATAAATACAATGTATCTATCAGAGACATGTCATATAGATCATTCCATCAATGTTTTGCGGCAATTTTTTTTAACCACAACTTAAAATCTTTCTTGTTAAAAAGTTGAATAATTCTAGCTAGCACATTTAACTTCATAGATAAAAAAAAATAGTGGATTTTATATAGTGTTGTTTTCCAAACTTGGCAAGAGCAAAACAAATTCATTGATTTGGATGGAAAATAAAATACCCCAAAATGATGGCAAAATCTGGAATTTTTCATCCTTTAATAGTCAGTTATGCTTAGTTGTAACTTATATAAATGTAGGTAGAAAAACAAAAGCAAATGTTGAGGGTCACAAAGCACTGTGCTGAACCTCCAGTGAGTTTACACCTAATCAGAGGGGTTGGGATTAATAGCCACTGGCCCTCCTGGAGAGTATAAAGAATTGTCAGAAGACATTCTCAAGTTAATTTATATTGCAAGCTTGAATTTTGATCTGGATTTGAATTTTTTAATGTATTTTTTCTATAAAGTCAAAATCTTGAGCATGATGTATAATGTAATAAAAAAAAACTTATCAAGTAATATAATATGTAAAGACCCACTTGACTGGTATAGATAGTTCTTTCTTTTTTCCATGCTTAGGGGTTGTTATATTCTACTTTGAGATCTAATTTGAAGTATTCTGATTCACTCTACATGTCAGTTGGATGTGATTACTAAGAAAGCAAAACCAAAATAAAAAGTCATTCTCTGTACAGGGGCTTTAAGCCTCACATCCAGCCCACAAAACAAACCCCTTAAAAAAATATAAAATAACCTAATCATGAACATTGTTGTCAAAGAAAAACATGAAAAAAAATGAATTTATTGCACTTGCTTTTAAGAATGGTGCTCACAGATGACTACCAGATTTGTGGCGAACGAGCAAGCTTTGACTAATCCAAACACTGGTCTCTCTCAACATCACCATGGTAACCTCAGTCAACCAACCTAACACACATAACCACAGGCTTTACCAACTCTACCCTTTCTACAAGTCTCTTCCCTTGTCCACAAAGAGACATTCCATTCACATCCTCTGTATTGGCAATAGGAAGAATTTTATATTAACAATTCTTGTCTTCTTTTCCTTTCACCTCATCTGTGATACTTGTTTTGTTTGTTCTCTCATGCTACAACACACATTTATAACAAGGAGGTAGCTCGTATTTATTAATTCTCTCTAGTTTATTCACCTGTGTTGCTTATCTGTTTTTTGTACTGAACCTGTATATATTTCACACCACCCAACCCAAGAGTTGCATTTACAACTGCCATGAAAACCAGATATTTCAATCCATTGTTTCTTGGATAATTCAGTGATGTCATTTTGGAGCTTTAAACTTAATATCTCTAGACAAGTGGTTAAATTTTTGAGTGTCCTTTCTTTCTTAATCAGTAGCAACCAATCGGTGTTTATCTCTATGCTGAGAAAGTTGTTGGAGCACTAATTCTTTCAGTTATCCACCAATTTTGTTTTTCAGTTTATTATCTTAACTTGATTCTACAAGGGTTGATAACCACATTTTTCATTCTATACATAAGCCATACCTGATTTCAGTGTCTCTTTGCAGATTACAACTCTCAGTGTTGTTCTATAATAGCCTTAAGGAAATGGCTGGTTTGGGAGGGATCTATTCAAAGGGCTGAACTGATATATGGATCACAAATCCTATGAATCTTTTCTAATGTACTCCTATGTATGGTAGACAAACCTTGATAGATTGTTACCCTCAACTCTTTTGTCCCTATTTCTGAATTTTACTTCTTAAAATAATTTTAATTTTAATAAGTATATTTAAAAAGAATTGTATACTGATGTGAATCCCTAACCCACCCAAGAATTTTTAGTAGCCCCCTTTTAGTGAATATTGGTTTTCATGCAAGAAAGTTGTTTCAAAGTTATAAATAGAAATTCTCATTGTCTGCTTAAATAAAATCTCATGAATTTTAACCTTTGAAACTCTATGACTTAATTTGCTGTACAAAAAGTTTATCCTGCCACTGAAGGTTACTCTGGTCACTGAACAATAGTGTTTGAATTTCATAGTTGTGTTGTCATATCCTGCTATGGCAACAGAAAAGAACTTCGAATTAACACTTTAGTGTTTGATTTAAAAATATAGTTTAAAAAACCAAAACAAATATTACTGATGACAGAATAGGGTTATTATTATTATTATTATTATGAGTTTTGTAAAATCTTATTTTTGAGTTGAAAATGTTTTTCATTGCCATCTTAAAATGTTGAGGCTACAATTGCATGAAGGGTAGAGCCTGGGGCTGGGTATTTGTGGCAGTTGGTACAAACATGTTAAACTGTTTTCATGCATTGTATTTTTTTATTTATTTATTAAAAACTTTATACTTACCATTGAAGTTGCTAATAATTTTTCAATTTTATTTTGACTTTAAAAATATTTCTCTGTTATCTTTGTTGAACATTTTTTTTTTTTTTTTTTTTTTTAGCTGGCCTGCCTTTTATTCCCAGCTCAATAGCCGCACACCAGCATCATGGAAAAGACAGTTTCAGGTACATTACTCTTGCATAAGAAATGTTGAGCATTTCCTTAGTCATCTTACAGAAACTTGTTACAAATATGAAGAAGTACCTGAGAAAATGTTTGTCAACCTTACAAATTTCATTGAGGAAGACCCATATCATGAGCAGTGCATTATTGACTATCTTGAAAAACTTCTTCAGAATCCAGAGTAAGTTGAAATTGAATTTTATTCAGTACAATGCTAATATGCATAGGACTGTATATTTTATCGTTCATATTCAGTCCCATGACCAGGTGTGGTTATACAATAGATGAGCACCTGCCCAGCTCCCTCCATATGTCTTGGTTGCATGCAAATGTTTGAGTCTCTGTAAATGATCTTCTGGTTCACTTAGTAATGTTGTCAGCCCCCTTTTGCTTTTTTATCTCTGTCTGCCTCTTCTTTTCCTTAAAGTGGTACCTTGTATGTGTTACAGAATGCGAAGGCCAGGGCCAGAATAGACAGCAATTGGGTGGAGTGATGGATTGCCTTTGTCTGCATTTTTGCATTTTGGATATAAGTCCAAAAGGATGGGAATTCAACTTAGAGCCACAACAATTCTGAAAGGTTAATATCCCCAACCCAACCGTTAAGAGACTAGCTAAGACCACCTGTGGAGGGATGCCAAGCCAATGTGTGACATGTGTTCCTGTGACATAATTCCTCCTACTGCCTCTTAGAATCTAAGCTACTACCAACTCTAATAAAACAAATAACAAAAAGAGATGGTCCCTTTTCTAAGTGAACGTAACATTCTGACTTCAAGATAAGACAGATCGGGACTGAGTCAGAGGAAACCAACAAGTGGCCTATCTTATTGGCTAGGAAGAAATCCCAGCATGCATTTGTGTGGTTCTGCCTGTAAATTGGGGAGGGGAAACTGTTTTGCAGTCGTTCCTTATTGGGATTGGAACCAACAAAATCTGACAGAAAAAAAGGAATCCCAAAGAGAAGGGATTGATATGGGACTGGTAATTACACCCTGTATAAAACTAACCTACTGAAACTAAAAATATGATCCTATACTCCAGAGAGATCCTCAAGGAACCAATGATGATTGGGATGAGATGTCACCTACAAACTTGCAGAAAATAATTATCAAGAGGATTAAATAATAAACATGTACATGTCTATTATTATGGGAGTCCGAAAAGTTGTCAACTCAACCAAGAAGCCTTTCACAAAGTCATCTGATGTTTGTTCACTTGTTTGGATTTTGGGAAATCAGTTGGGGCAAGAACTTTTTAGAATCTCTTGCCATACATGATTTCTATAGTGACTTAAAAAATTCTTTTAAAAATGTTGATTTGCTTTTAATGTCTTATATAATTTTGTTCATATTGTAGAGTAATTAGTCACAGTTAAATGTAATTGGTGGAAATGCCCAACAAACAGAATTGACAAAGTTTTCAATAATCAATAACAAAGAAAAGAACAGGACAAAAATAATACAAAGCAAACAAAAAAATATATATTATATAAGTAGGCAAAGCAATAGTAATGAGGCATAAAGTTAACAGACTAAGAATGATAACACAAAAGGGATACAGAAAAATGACCACAGCATTCTGACATCAAGACAAGAAAGAACTAGAATATAGTGGATGAGACTGAGAAGTGGCCAATTTTATTGGCTAGAAAGAAATCCCAGCATGTATCTACCGTGACTTGGGGGAAGGGGATGTCATTGCAGTCATTCCTAATTGGATTGGAGCCAACACCTTTTAAGTTTTTTTTTTTTTTAGCATAAAGCTTATGAGGTTCACAAAGTTCAGTAATCCAAAAATTCAGCATATTTTAAGCCAGAAGTAAGGCTCAGATCTTTTTGAGGTAACTTTTTTTTTCAAGTAAAATCACATCTTTCTCATATTTTGAAATAAATTTTGTTTTGCAATAAAGCCCTGCTCTTTGTATTTTTGAAATATGTACAGGTCATGTAAGAAATAGCAGTTTGGAATGAGAAATTAGGGAGCCAGGTTCAAATTCTAGTCATATTCATTACATTTAGCTACACACAAATACCCTTGGAGAAAGGTATGAATTCATCTTCTCCCACCAGCTATAGGTTAAAAAGAACTCGTCACTGGATTAGTTAATGTTATTCGGTAAAAAATAAAGAAAAGAATTATTCCTGCAATCCAAAATGTGTAAAGTGTTAAACCATAAAAAACAACCAATTGTATTTTTGATATTTGAATTTATACTTATTTTCTAAGAATTAGAAATAGTTTTTACAGAGTAATGACTATTAAACTAGGACAGACTCTATGACTCTCCTACAAAAACTTATGTGACCCATCCCCCCCCCCACCTCAACTTAAAGAAAAGGTGTACAGTCATGCCACATTGAAATACTGGTTCCCGTACAATCACCAAAGTTGAGCAATGTTGAGTCTGATCAGTACTTAGATGGGTGACCACTTGGGAATACCAGGTGCTATAAACTTGTATGTGCGGGTGGTGTAATGGATAATGGATAAGAATTGAGAATCAGAGATCCAAGTTCTAATTCCATTTAGGCTCATTATATTCACTTATGCACAAATACCCATAGAAAAGGTATGAATCCACTTCTCTCCCTAGCTATGAGTTAATTAGTAAAACTTTTATGACTAAATCATTATTATCTCAAAAATATTTGCTGACTTTAAATAAACTGCATAAGCCATACAAAATGAATGAATGAATCAACTTATGGAAAATAACTGAAATTTCTCTCATTTAGGTTATATTTTAAATATGAAATTTGGCTCAAACTTGAGCATTTACTAAGCTTGACTAGGTTCATGTAAAAAACAACAAACAAAAAGAATAGTACATCTCTATTAATATTTATTTACCTACTGGTATATAAACAAAAAAATTTGTTTAAAAAAAATAGCTTCCTTTTTGTACCTAATACACAGAATCTAGTTTAACTCTGTGAGGAAGCAAATTCAATGATAATCATTTTCAATCATAATTTTCTCCTGAAAGGGTGACCCAACACATCACAAAGTTATCAGTTTTATATAAAGTTGAATGTTTGTAAAGATGAATCTTTGTACTTAACTATTGAATGACGTGGGTGGTTTTAAAAGAAACAGGAGACAAATGCAGAAATACAGGGCAGGCTCACATTTTTATCTTAATATTACACCTTTAAAACTTGTAGAAAATAACCAAAATTTTTAACTCTCATTAGAGTTATATTATACGCATGAAATAAAGCTCAAACTTGAGAATTTGGTAAGCATGGCCAGGTTCTGCTAAAATTACCTGTTGCTAAAAATAAGTACTATGAATAAATATTTGATTCAGATTTGTTCTGTCTGTTCTATCTTAGTTTTATATGTAGATTCCAATTTAAGAAGTATATTTAAAAAATTCTTATGATCTATCTATCTTTGTTATATTCTTTTCTGCTAATTTTTCAGTGAAGAACAAACACTGACCAAACAGTACTATTGTGGTAAGCTTCTGCTCCATCTTCGGCATAGAGTTTTGAGGAAAGCCTGGTATGAATATATGGCACGACCAGTTTATGCACAAAAATTGGAAATAGGTAACAATGGGTTTTATGATCTCTGTACAAAATTTTATCAATGAATTTTCCATATAAAAATACTAAATTCAAACAAAGGCCTATGGAATAATGTTATATACTAACTTCCAGTTTCTTTAGAGCAATCCCATATTTTCAATATACTTTTCAGATGAATTTCTTAAAATAGTGGGTTTTTTTTTATTGGACTCTAATCATGAATAATTAATGTCTGTAACATTGGAAAAAGTTTGATTATTCTCTGCAATTTAAGAGCTAATATACCAACTGGATCAATTCATTTATACAGTGTTAGCTACATGGGTGCAACCATTTGACCACCCATGCAACTATGCATTTAAAAAATGCCATGCAATGCTGAAATCTATACTAACCTGCTTTATATGCTTGACTGACAAATTAATATATGCTGCTGCTTTCAACTTTCTTAATCTCCAGCAGTGTTCCCAGTTATGTGGATTCCATCTCAGAGTAATATATGCCCTTCTCTCTTTAACAGCATAAAGAACACAATGAAGTTACAATGAAAAGAATTTGGAATATTAATAATTCAGCTCAAAATTATAGCCAATATATTATTATTAGCTTGGATGTCTTTATTACCATTTTAGATTACAAGTAAACATGTGGAAGAGTTCTAACAGTCTACCATTATTGTCAAAATTAACATTTCATATATTTATAAATTCTGATACTTTCCCAAATTATATAAAATCAAATATTTAATAATACCAGCATTTATTTTTAGATTTCAAATTGTTTAATCTAAAAAAAATGTCTTATTTGTTTTCATAAGAACTTTAACTCTTTCTTCTACTGATAAGTCTTTGTGAGAATTGATTGGAAACGTTTGACAATGTCAATTCTATTAATGTTTTATATAATATTGATCCTTTTGTGTAACATTTTTTTTTTAAGGAACAATATTGGTTCATGACTGGCATACATATAAAAAGTCAACAGATATTGAAAATGTTTCACAGAAATTGGACAATCTTGCCTTAGAAGTCATCAAGGAACTCTGCAAATACTGCCCTGATCACCCTGTCATCAAACACGGCATCTGTGATAGTGAGTAACCACTGAATCATTCAATGTTTTAAAGCAGTAATTCTTAAAATGTTTCCAAGGATAAATAAAACTGTATGTCAGTTGATGTGATGTGCCTTTAAAGTTTGATAAAAGTTTAATCTTATTTTTCAGTAAGAAAGCTGTACATGAAAAGTAAAGATTATACCCTTCATAAAATGACTATTATTAAAATATTAGAATTATTGAATTTACCAGCATTTTATTGCTATAACATTACTTATAGGCATCTTCAAAGGAAGAATTTTATTTGTAAACAGAATATTTAATTGCTTATTAATGTTATAGATTTTAGCTTCCAATTTTATTTTTTATATTTTTAAATATATAAGTAGGCATTTTTAAAATTTTGACTAGGAAAAAAATAATTTGAATAAATTTTCAAATAAAAATGGAGAGGCAATGTAAATAAATAAATGAGAAGACAAGGTCTCTCTATTAATATTACTCTTATCATAAATGACCTTCTCATTGTTTTTAGACAGTGGAGTAATGGATAGTGGCTCAGATTGAGGAATCTGAGAGCTGAGTTTGAATTCCAGTCGAATCCATTACATTCACTTAAGTGCTAATACCCTTGGGAAAGGCATGAACCCTCTTCTTCTCCCCCCAGCTATGGGTAAATAGCAGGACAGTTTCTGTAGCCTTGGATGTCAACTGGTGTACTGCAGAAAGAAATGGCGACATTGCAGGGAAAAATATGCCTCTTTAGTCATGTAACGAAAGATATATGATCGCCTAAGCATGTATCATGCATGGCACATAACTGACTGACTATTCTATTATTGTGCTTGTTCCTCCTTTTGTTAATTCATGCCCTTATGTTCTACCAGTACCTCATAGATAATGGAATATTTCATTTTGATCACATGGAAAGGTGGGGGAACACTACTTGGTTTCAATGAGGAAACAAAAGGAAGGAAGGAAGGTAAAAGTGTTTGATCGCTGTTTCAGTGAAATGGAAAAAAGTTGTCAATTTCAAATTTTTTCATTTGAAGCCATTTCTTAAAACAATGACCAGCATTCTTATTTATAATTGTTATTGCAATATATTTTTAAAGTTGTTAAGCTCAAATATTTAACAATACAACAGGGGAATTTCGATGGACATTTTATTGTTATAGAACTTGCCATGAGCTAACTCAATCAAGATTCATGAGAATATTAAAATAGGAAAACTGTAAAATTTTCACAGGTTAAACTAGTTATTTGCTGGTGTAAATGATTTTCGAAGCTTGATTTGAATATTTTGAGTATGTTGAGTGACCCTTGTATTGTATATTGATTATTTTCCAGTAATGTTTTAATTCCTGGTCTTCCTCATTGTAGAATATCAAAAAATCTCCAGCACATTTGACAGATTTGATTGTTAACATACCTTTTCTATAAATAGCACAAATCCTCTTATACAGAAGTCACATTTTTACTTTCTTTAAAATAAAAAAAACACATAATGCATTGAAAATCTCTATATTTCTTAGATGAGGTATTGTAACTATTTACACTATTTTCATTGTTCAGACTATTGTTTTCATCTTTATCATATTCATGAGTTTTCAGCCATTGTATGCTCTGGCCTTCTTCAGGTGATATACATTGGAATTTTGAATCAAATCCTTTATTTCATCCACCAGGATAGATTGTTCTAGTTTCATGTGCCATGCCTTTTCTGAATATCTTAGTTTCAGTTATCTCCCTTTTTGTAACAATATAAAGGGTTCAGTTCAAAATTCCAACATATATCAACTGAAGAAGGCCGAAGCATACAACAGCCAAAATGTGAATATGACAATAAAGATGTGGATAATAGTTCAAACAACGTAGATAGTATAAATTGCACTGAAAATGTTTCTTACTTTCTTCCAACTTTAATGTTAGAATCAATAAACAAAAATGCAGTTATTTTTACATTTTTATAAAAAATGATTACTAAGATGGTCAGTTTTCACAATACAATCAAAAGTTGTTTATTGTAATAATGTTAAAGCTTATGGTCATATCACATTGAAACACCAGTTTTCATCCAATCACCAAAGTTAAGCAATGTTGAGTTAGGTTAGTACTTAGATGGATGACCACTTGGGAATACCAACTATGACATGTAGGTAGTGTAATGGATAATGGCTCAGAATTGGAAATTTGAGAGTTCAAATTCCAGTTGGGTTTGTTACATTCACTTACACGCATATCCTTAGGTGATCATGAATCAAAAAGAGACATGATCGCCTAAGCATGTCAAATCCACTGCTACCCCAACACACATTGGGCCAGTGTGATAGGTCAATGGTCCCATTCCTCCCCATGAGTCCAGGAAAGACCTATACCCAACAAAGAATCTTCACAAGCTGAGAGAGAAATTAAATTAAAAGCAAATGTTTGTGATATTATCTAATGACAAACATTTTGTGTAATTCATTATTTTTATTTCAATATGCTTTGGTTTTAACATTTTTATTTTTTATTTTTTAGTTACTGAGACTCACTTATGGAATTCAAGAGAGACCCATGATATATTAGCAGCTATCAACATTGTCTTGTATAAGAAACATGTTTTTTATGCTGAAGAATATACTTCAATGGATCTTCTTGATATCAACAAGGTAAGCAGATACTTTGTAAAGATTACATCTCAATGAAAGTCTTTTAAACAACAATAATTTCTTTTAATATGCATCTAACAAGTGAGCAAAACTGTTTGCTTTAACCAATTAGTGCTCACTATCCTATTAATAGGTGATAGAAACCCATAATTAATACCAAATTTTTACTTTCTTTTTTATTATAAATACCAGATTTTATAGTGGGCATGAAAGGTTTAAAAAAAAAATGACTTACTAAATACATTTTGGTATCAATATAAATGTTGATATAAAAAAATTAAAGATAATCCTAAAAGGTTTACAGCTGAAACATTTTTTGTATAGTTGTCTGCAATATCATAGTAACAATACATTGTCTTTTGTGCAGATTCTTAGAAAATTAGTCTTATTTACTGCACAAAACATAGTATTTGACTACATATATTACCATGCTATACATTTATCAATCAATTGCTAGGTCAGCTGCTAGGAAATTTGGTTCACTGTGTCATGCTTGACAGTTTTTCTTGCCAGAATCTATCTGACACATAAGTCTACCATGTGTCCATTCATTGAATATTGCTGCCACATCTGGTTCAATACTTCTGCTACACACTTGGAGATTCTTGATAAAATACAAAAAATTTGCAATGTTATTGATCCTGACCTGGCATCTCACCTTAAGTCACTTTCCCACTGCCATAACATAGCTTCCCTGTACCTTTTCTATAAATATCTTCATGGTAATTGTCCTGATAATCTTTCCACTCTGGTACCTTGACATTATGAATTTAAGCACTAGATTTTTGGCAAGACTCATCATTTTACAGTTGAAATGCTTAGATGTAACTAAGTTTTATGCTAACCATTTCTTTTCTCACACTTTTTACTTGTGGAACTCTCTTTTGACTTGTTGCATTCCAGTCAACTTTGATATTCAAAAATTTAAATGCAATGCCAAACTGTTATCTTCTGTTTACTTTATTCCTGTTATTGTTTTTTTACCTTAATAAATTTTTTTTCTATTTCTTATATTCTTTCACACTCAGTAACTCCCTGTGTCTTAGTGACTTTATTGCCTTGCTTGGGATGGAATGATTAATAAAAAAAACATCACAAGCTGACTTGTATATATAGAAAATCACACATACAAATTAGTTTATAAACAGGCGGTGAACTAAGACAAATGACAAAACATGCCCTCCACTCTATTGCTTATTATAAAAAATTTAAATTACACAAAGACAAAATTTTTGTCTTTTTTTTTTTTTCTTGTGCAAAATATAAAAATGTAGTAGGGATAGAATGGAAAAAGAGAACATGTGCCTCTTTTAGCCCTAAAGTTGAATGAGGGGCAAACAATAAGCCTCAACCACAACATAAAATTTAAAAGGACAAACATGTATTACAGTACACAAAAGGTGTGGGGGAACAAATACAAAACTTACTTACAAGAGCTTGCACAAAAATTTCCTTTTTGTGCACCTTATACAAAAATTAAGGTAGGAGAACAATTCAAATATATGACAAAAGATGATTACACTTTTAAAAATGAAAAACAATAACTCTGAGAAAGCAAAAATCAGAAAAGACAAGCAAACAAAAGGTGCACCCACCTGAAAGTGAAATGAAAAAACCTACTTTAACTTATCCTACGAGTGTCTCTGGGACCTTTAATGATATTTCAAATGTCTTTTGGGTTTTTTTTTTTCTGTTAGGTTACCCATGTGCTTCACTGGGGCCTTAACAATATTTAGGAATTTCTTTGTTTTCTTTTCATTTTTCAATGGTGGCAGTATCCTTGTGAAAGCCAAAGGTTTTTGTTCTAGTGATGGCTTGTGATTTTCACATATGAACTTCAAAAAATCTTCCACTCCCTGCAAAAATCCGGCTTTGCTCACAACTGACATTTGTGCTTGCCACCTTGAAGTCTGAGTGCTTTCTACCTTGACTTCTAAATTCTTTCCACCCTGATCTCAAAATGCCTCCTGCCTTATCTGCTGACACAAATGCCTTTTATGAGAAACAAGTAGTTTCCAGAGACCCCAATTCTGGGTTTTTGATTGTTCAGTAAATATGACAAAATATATTTTTCCACCAATTAAAAATGAATCTGCAGTAATTCATAAAACAATTTTGCCATTTTTTTTTTAAATGCTAATTCTAAACAGAAATTTACAACTGTGCAATTTCTTTTATGAATTATCTGGCTTTCATTTACAATACATTTTTCTTGAAAATACATGTAATAAAAAAAAAAAACCTAGACAGTTGAAACCTATATTTATTACACTTTTAACTAATGCTAATTTTAATTCATATAAAAAATATAAAATATTTATATCATATTCAAATTAATTCTTACATTTATTATTGTAATATTTTGGCTGCTATACTCTACAACCTTCTTCAGATTTCTACTCTTTGAAGTAATCTAAAAAATAATTTAACAGGCTGAATCCTTGTTTCAGGAGTCCAGTACTTATTAGAAATGTAGGAGCAGCACCCCATGAGCTGCAGCAGTGGGTGTGTCTAGGGTAAGATAGCCTGATGAAGCCCATCATCCTTCATGCTAGTTTTGAATTCAGAGTTCTTAATTCCCTTAGACCGGTTGCCAGTCAAGGCTAGAGAGCCTAAACTGCCCTGTTGTTTACCTCTAACTGGGGTGAGAAGCTATGGATTAATACCGTTCCAAGGGTATTTGTGTGAAAACGAATGTAATAGCCTTGTCTGAAATTTGAACTCAGAATGCCAACACCACTAAGCTACTAAGTTATGCTCACATGTCAACAGGCTGAATACTAAGGTGCAAATAATTTTATTATTTTTCATTGTCTTTCATTATTCATTTCTTTTAAATAAATTGTTTACTGTATCTGATGCTATTTGATGCTGAATCAAAAAGAGATCATGAATCTAAAAGCACATTATATCCAATCTTATACTGAAATTAATTCTTTTTAAACTTTACCTTTTATACAGGTACATCAGTAAATCCCCAGCCTAATAACAAGCATTTACTTTACACAACAAATGTTTAATTTTCAACATAATCTCCTTTCTTTTCAATGCACTCAACTTGAAGCATCTTCCATAATCATATATGTAGGAACCTCAATAAGTGTGTAACCTAAAGATGATGACAGTATTTATTTTACACAAATAATTTTCAACATAATCTCTTTTCTTGTAAGTGCATTTAATTCAGTAGTGAATATTAATCACATTGACCAAAAATTCTACAGTGAAAAATTCAGATTAAAATTCAGCTCATAATTACATATCAGCAGTCCTGGATTATCCTATAGGCTAGTCTAGTATAGGTTGCAGCCTAGTGTTCCTCAAGCTTTGTTATAACGTTGATTATCTGTTTTTTTTGTTTTTTTGTTTGTTTTTCTTTTTTACTCTGGTTGTGTTGAAATGAATTTGGCTTGCAATACATAATAAAATAGTGGTATTTCTTAAAGAATATTTTTATTGACAAACAAAAGATTGCTATTCTAGTTTATTTAAAGAATTTGGAATAAGTTTAATATTTTTGAATAATATGATATTCTTTGAAGCATTCTATGCAAAATGGAGTCCTTTGCACCAAGTTGTTACCATTATTTTTCCTCTTTTCTCTTTGAGACATAGTATTATTATAAAAACATAGTATTATCTTTGATGTGTTCTTCCAGTAAATGTCACTAAAATATATCAAGAGTGAAAAACAAAATATTCAAGAGGGTGGCTGTGGAAGTGGGGGTTGATGATTTCATTAGCCTAGGGTCACCAAAAGATCATAATCCAGTCTTGCATGTCAGGCTACATATTTATTGATCCATTCTTGTATTATACAGGTTATGTCTACAAAACGTTGTTTACGATGGATCCTTACTGTGATTTACCAAACTGTAGCCCGTCGCCTTGGTGTTTTACTTCAACCAGTTCCTCCCTTTATGCAGCTACTTCGATGGCAAGAACACCCTCAGTAAGTTCTTATTTGCCTTCTTACTCTTGTAAACTTACAAACAAACATACACCTGTTAGAAAATAAGCTAATTTATAAATGGTTTCAATTTTTTTTCATCTAATATATAAAGCTTAAAGTTTTGTCTGTCTCTGTGTGTGTAAATCCTGCCTAAAACTGACATCAAATAAATGCAGTTTTATTTATATCTATCAGGATGTGTCTTATATCTTGCCCAATTTAGTGGTTCTTGTTTGCATATTCTTTTTTGATCTTTATAAATAAATAAATTGTTTTGTTGACAGTTTTGATAATTGTTTAGTTACACAAATAAACTCATTTTCTTCCTTGAATATGGTTACTACTTTAGTATTTAGATCACAGCTTCAGAGTAAACAAAAAATAAGCAATGTATAAAGTGACATAAACAATAGATGTTTTTTAATAGTATATTTTGAAATCTAGCAAATATAAATCATAACATGCTGTATATGAAATAAAGGATAAACAAAATATTTAAACTTATTTAACTGCTTTAAATATGACAATTTTGCTAATGCCCATTTTATGTCATATGCAAATCACTTAACAAAAAGACTATGTGGTGCAACAAAGGGAAGGAACTTACTCCATTATATGCCAGACATCTCACTGCTAGTTCAGCACTAATTCTCCTATTGTAGATCTTAATAATCTTGTTACTGCTTGACTGCAATGGCAAAATAGGAACATATTTTTATATGATAATCCAAAGAAGAGATATCACACCTGGAAATAATATCTCCCTAAATTACCTAGCAGCATATGCATCATCAGAGAAAATATTACCCTTTCATTTTATTATATATATATATATATATATATATATATATATATATATTTTATTACTTCAAACATTATTTTTACTGGATATCTGCATATTTTTTAAAATAAACTGAGTGTCTACTCAAATTTGGGCTTCAACAAAAATGTTTGAAGTATGTGTCTGTAAAAATTCAGATATGACTAAAATATAACTTCAAAAAGACTGAATAAAGGCAAAAGGAAAACATATTTTAGCCAACACATTTCGTCCTCTGATGAAGTCCATCAGAGGACGAAACACATCAACTAAGATAATTTTTCCTTTTGTTTTTACTCATATTTAATACTTATATAAGGTTCATTGATTAAACTTGACAATTAAGGCTTTTTTGTCATGTTGGATATATATTTAACACTTATATTTTTAAAAAATTAATAGTTGTATAAATGTTTAATATTTGTATAAAAGTATACCACTTAATTTATGATGAATTAGTTTTATTCCTTTTAATACCATTAAAAAAAATCATAATTACAAAGTTTTCACACCTCCAGACTTGCATGATGATTCAAGGGTACATGAAAAATGCAAGGAAAAGTAAGTTAAACTTAGGTTTTAACTCTAAAGTTCATAAAAGGCATTATTCTGCTTGTGTTTAAAGTAATATATTAAACACAAAATTTGAAAGATAATTTGCATTGCTTTTCAGTTATAAGCACAAGTATATATATTTTTAATTTCCATGCTGAAAAGTTGCATTGATTATTTTCTGTATTTTATATTCTCAAAAAAAAATATTCAGTATTGATTGTAAATGCTTTTAATTTTGTCATACTTTGTAGATTCTACCAGTGTTGATAAGCCATCAGCTTTATCTTTCTTCTCTCACTCAACAAAAACTTTTTCTGGCATATAAAAGAAAGATTGAAAATATACTGGCTTTTAAAATAGTATTCATTACTTTTAATACAATGATAATTTTTAAGTGATTTACAATTGTTTTTTCTTATTTCAGAGAAGAAGAAAGTTATAAGCAATATACATACTTGAATACTAATGAAAATGGTCGCTTCTTGAGTGAAACCCAGCGCTATCACATACATTATGAAGATCCTAACTTCCCGCCAAAAACGGTAACTATTACATTTAGCTTTCTTAATTTTTGGGGATTTCTCACTGTAATCACATACACAGATCTTTATAATTTTCCTGCTTACTTCATAACACTTTACTATCATAATTTATTTGTATCTTTAAAAGCTCAAAATTTTTTTTTCCAGTTCTATATTTAATTAGGTAAGATAAAGAATAAATAGGAAACGTTCATCAATCTAGGTTTCACTTTTATTAAAGCTTCATCAGAGAATGAAATATGAAGAAAAAGAACAAAGAAATTCTGTTATATTTATTTTTTGTGTTGTTTGATTCTCATTGGTTAATCAAGTTTCACGTACGATCGATTTAAACATTAAACAAATATTAATAAAATTTATGGTGTCACAAGTTCAAGGAGAGATTATGCATCCTTTTTAAGTTCCAGTAATTTAACAGATTGCTTTATGTATGTAAATGTATAATAATTCTAGTTTGTTTATGTGTGATTCAAATGATAATCTATATTCATGTGTGTGTGCAGTAGCAGTAGTCATTGTTTGTTGATTATCATCATCTGTTTTTGAGACAATTTTCTTGCTAGAATCTGACATATTTATCAGTCTACCATTCATTCTTGTTTTGAAATTGCTACATAGACAAAGAATCTGAATTATTGGTCCACATTCACATTCATCCCTTTGTTGCCCTAAGACTTCCCTTTTTCATTAATTGTTCTCATGAATCTATATCATTTATGAATTTAAATATTTATCAGTTCTACCATTCATTTTCTTTTGAAATGGCTAAATTCTTAAGTTTTTTAGCAGTTTCTTCTATTACTTCTCCCTTGCTGAATTATCCACATCTGGTCTAAAGTGCAATCATTGCTTCTGTCTTAATTTTATTTAGAAATTCCAAATGTTAACTTTAATAGTATCTTTTTTCTGCATATTAGTAAGTTGATGTGGGGAAGGACAGGTAGTCATTGTGTTTTGCTCAGTCTTATGGATGGTTCCACTCAAATTTCCGTTTGTTTTTTTCAGAGTTAAATTTGAATTTGAAGAAGTTTTTCCTGGAATTAACTAGGTTCAAAAATATTTTCTATATCAAGTTTTAATCCTTCCCATTTTTGTTATAATCAAATGACACTTCCCCCTTCAAAGTCAATTAGTAACTTAAATTTCTAAGTTCTGGTCTTCAGGTTAAGGTCTTTCAGGAGGTCTCAGCAAATAGTAGATTCAATAGTATTGGGATTCTCTTCCTCTCTCTTTCTTTCAACTTTTTTGTGTCCAGCAGGGTTGGAGTTGACTAAGGTCTGGCTTTTGTTTTTTCTAATCAACTCAGTAAAAATATTTTCAATGGTTTTCTTATATGATTGAACAGAACTTGTACCTTTTTGCCCATGGTCACTTCAAAATTTTAATTTTTCGTTACCACTTTTTTCCGAAAATGTTTGGATAATTTGAATTTTGAAATTATAATAAAAACATTTTTTTTCATCTTGGGGATGCTTTTCTTCTAGCTGATTCAAAACAGATGTTTTTTTTTTCTGGTCCTTTCTTGTCCAGAGGGAATCATGAAGTTATTTAAACCAAATTAAATATGGTTAATTAATAAATGTAGGGAAGGAAGTCTTGGTTTTACTCAGTCTTACGGAATTTCATTTGGTTAAATTTGGATTTTGGAATTATTTCAAAAAAACTTTACAATCCAAATTTAAAAATCCAAAGACTCTCTCCTCTTCCTTCTTTCTTTTCTTTTTTTGTTTGATCAACCTCTGGAATCCCGGTGTTACAGAATGGAAAAATTTTTTTTTCATCTTGAGTTATTCAAAAATTATTTATACATTAAATGGGAGTTAAAAATAAAAAGGAAAACCCCATTAGTAGAATGGAACATAGTAAAAAAAAAAAAAAAGTTAAAAGAAATTATGAACTATGCAGGAAGAAATTATGAACTATGCAGGAAGAAAAAGCTAAAGATTATAGAATTTAAGAATGTTAATAATTTGATAAATAAAAGGAATTATTTTTAAATGTTAGCTAGTTGTGAAATGGATAATAAATCTTGTGAAAAAACAAAACAGTCACCCATTTTTAAAATTACTGAGGGTGAAAATGCTGTAAATAGAGAAATAAAATAAAAATGTTATTTTTTATGTGTATATAATAATATTTCTGTTAGTTTTGAATAACATTACAATTACAGTACTATGGCATTGTTCTACCATTATAACCAGTTTCAATCTAATAATTATAGATTGGTACATCAGCTAGATCTTTTGATTGTGTTATGGTTATAGTTTATTGACATGGGAAGACTCATCAATTCTCTCATCAGAATACCACTCAGATACACTGAGCCATCTGCTGAAGGCAGAATAATAAACCATTAAATGTACTTGTTTGATATTATTTATCATTCTTTTTTGTCACAGATTTAAATTTACTGTCTTTAATTTTGTTTCAGTGGTTTCATAATATTGCTTCTAAACTTCTCAGAATGGGTCGGACAGGAGAAAGCAGTTTGATGGTTCGGAATTACTTGAAATTGACAATTCTGCTGGACCCTGATGATTTGGACATGTTGGCTGTCTGGGCTGAATGTAATTTGAGGGCACAGATCAATCTAGATCAGGTTTGTTTTTTTGTTTTTTTTTTTTAAATATTAGATTAATACAAATAAAATTTGTCACTTAACTGATTTATATTATATTCAGCACCTTAACTCTAAAGTTTCATAGACAATCCTTTGTGTAATCATTCAGTCCACTTGTCAGAAAGTTTCAGCAATTAACTGCCATTCTTCTCATTTTTTGTTATTTTTATACTAAGTTTGATGTAATTAATTTATGTGCTATTTATCAGTGTTCAGCTGATATTTCTTTCCTCTTTGTGTGTATGTGTCAAATGTCATAATTATTTCTTCTTTTCATCATTTTCTTGTCACCTATACTCTCTCTCTGTTCTTTTTCTGACACATATGGATAAATGTAAATGCAATAAAACGTAGTGTCAAAAGGATAGGTTTTTTTTCTCATAACACTACTTTTTTAAACTACCTTCACTCTTCAACAATGTTTAAAAAAGTGATTATTAGAATTGGATTAAAACCTAAACATGATAAAAGTGAATTTCATTTTTTTTTGTTCTTGAGAATTTACAAAATTACTGAAAACTATTTATTCGATTGTTTACCATTTTATAAAGTTTGAATCAATTGGCAAATTAACTGACATTTTGCCAACCATCCCAATAAATAATATGAATAAACAATCTAATAAAATAGTGTTTATTATTTTTGTTGTAAATTCTCAAGAACAAAAAATATACAAATTCACTTTCATATATTTAGGTTTTATTACAATTTTAATCATCACTTTTTAAAACAATAAACATTGCCAGAGAGTGAAGTTAGTTCAAAAAACAGTGTTGGGTGGTAAACTGTCATTTTGACACACCATTTTTTTGCAGGTACATTTATCCTTTGCCTCTTTTCCTTCTTTTTTCTCTTTTGACTCCAAGTGTCAAAGTTTCTATGATATACACTATTATCTAAAGCAGATTGTGCAATATCCTAAAAATAAAACCAATATAGGAAAAGATTTACATCAATGGCTATGATCTTATAAAATATCTTGTTATTTAATCATACCCAATTAAGTTTTAATTACAGTACTAAACTTCTGAAGGTTGTATTGGTATATAAAAATGGTAATCAGATTCTTTTGATCTGTGTATGTGGTTCGTTAACCCAAAATTCAATAAATGATTATGAACAAAGTTTATATAAAAACACAATATTTTATATAACAATTTAAGAGATTACAAGGAAAGGAAAAAAATGTGTATTAAGTTTGTATTTTTCATGTAGAGTTTATAAGTGACTTACTCCATAAATTGAAAGTTCTTTCATTGAGCAGCTGTGTGTGTGTGTGTGTGTGTGACTTTTGACCAGCTGGTCTGAAATTGCTATCACAACCACTATGAAGACTGCTGTCTAGGCAACATCTGTCTTATGTCTGACTGGCTGTCTGGAATCCATTGGATTCACTTACATGCTAATACCCTTGGGAAAGGTATGAATCCTCTTCTCCCCAAACCCACCTATAGGCAAGACAGACCTATTGACGATTCTATAGCCTTGGATGATGGCAACTGATCTACTGCAGAAAGTAATGGCAACCTACTGTGGGAAAAAAATCTGCTTTGTCAGTCATGTATTGAAAGTTACATGATCACCTAAGCGTGTATCAAGTATGGCACATAACTGACTGGCTGCCTCATTGCTGTCAGTGTTCTGTGTAGGTGTTTGTTTGTTTCTATAGGCTGCTGCATGTGATTTGTGATATTTGCAAAAAATGGTATGGTTAATATGTATACTATTCAATTAATTTTTTTTAATTTTGTTAAATTAGGGATAATGTCCATACTTCTCCAGTCACAAACTGCATCATCACTTTAGGCTGTGCATGCATATATTGTTATCTGCGTTTATAAAGTCTTGTTTAGTAGCAGGCAACCAGTTATCTTTGAAGATAAAAGATAGTATCCTATTTACTCAAAATTCAGTCTTTTGATGATGAGATTGATCTCTATAGAGCAAAGACCAAGGCAAGAGAGTGCATTGCCCAGGCCACATACACCCCTCCCCCATCCATACTAACAAGATCCAAAGGAATGCAGGGCATTATATTAGTAGCTGACTTAGCTGCTGGAGTTGCCAGGAGATTGTGTTGACAATCAACAGCCTTTGGGGTTCCATGGGGATTTTCTGTCTGGATTTACTTCCATAACCTTTTCTGTGTTTAGATATAATTGAGAGGGAACAAAAGTTCTAAAATCTATTTTCTTTCTACTAGATGGACTAGATTATGAAGTCATTATTTAAAAATAAAAATAATATATACTACCTTTTTGACAGTACTAACATTTAAATTATCAATTAATAAAAATGAATGAGAGTAGAAAATGCAAAGTTGCAAAAAAAATGCAAAATAAAACTTTAGGTAAAAAAAAAAAAAGAAAAAAAATAAAACAAGCTTCGGGATAATTGTACAAAATCAAATAAATACTAATTTAGAAAAACCCAGTAACTGGGAAAAAGTTGAAAAAATAATAATAATCAATACATATTAATTTGATTTGAAAAGTTACACCTGTTCATTTTGGAATATTTATTCTTTTTTAATGTCATGTTTAATATATAATTTGGTGGAGCCCTGGATCCATCGCTCCACACCATTAACTAGAGTGTATAAAATGTTATGAATTTTAAACTTTGAATTAATTATCCACCTTAAAAGTGTTTTAATAAAACAAAAACCATATTGGAACTATGAATTCTGGAACAGAAACAAGACATGAAACAGAATAAAACTGAAAATAACTTATTTTATTGTTTACTAGCAGTAGAGCCCGGCGTTGCCCGGGGATGTAACAGTAAGAGATAGATCAAGTATCGACCATCATAAAGACTGAAAAATAAAATTGACAAAGATTATTGTTTAAGGTTGACGGACACGCATGTCTTAATTAGTTTTTTTTTTTTTTTTTTTTTTTTTTTTACTTAATTGGTCAAACCCAAACTCAAACAAAAACATTGTTTACAATCGTTATGAGTCTATTGATTGGTGAATAGAATTTTATTATAAACAATTGTCTTGTAAATGGAATTTTTAAAGCATTCTGAATGTAAATAAAGAAAAAAGTGTGCAAGACAATAAGAAATACAACCTGCCAAAAAAAAAGTCGATGTTTGTTTTATCGGCTGAAAAATGTAAGAAATCCGATCCCATATATAAAGGAACACACACACACACACACAAACACACAACCTGGTTTTTTTTTACCTAAGTCACTCCACGGAATCGCTACAACATAGAGCATAGTCTGATGAAAAACGCTAAAAGTTTATGAAAAAACAAAATTTTATCATCAAAATGCTTATGTTTTTATGAAGAGGATAGACTAAATTTTTTTTAATTATTTTTTAAAATTTTTCCATCTTTTTAGAATATTCTAAATTTTGATTTAAAAACCTTGTTTCTCTTTGTCGCAACAAGGGTAGTAAATACATAGATGATTTTTAGCGTTTTTTGTATTTACACACATTAATTTGGAAAATCTTTCAAAAATAAAAATAATTGTCAGATGTTAATGAAACTTTCAGAAACTATTCACAGATGATCGAAATTATTATAAATATGTTTTTTTTTTTATTAACGTCATGGCAGAAATATTTTTTTTATATTTATTAACACCCCCATAACTAATTTTATGAAAAACTCTAGAAATTCGAAACCATCGGTTTTAGTGATTACAATAGTTAAAAGCACAAGGCTTTGAAGAATGCAAATCATGTATTTTTTTTTTTTTTTGGCCAACGTACCTGAAAATCAGCTGTGAATTGTAACATACAAAACTCAATAAAACAAATATATTATTTAGTTTCAAATGCTTTTATTTGTTTTAATTTGTTTTTATGAATATGGACAATATTTTCTGGAAGCAAAAAATTTTTTCAATGAAAATTGAATTTTTAATACAATTATTTCTTATTTCTTTAATTTTAAAAGATTTTTAAAAATGTTTAAATTGAATTTAAAAAATATTTTAACATTAGTTAAATGCAACATCAACCTTTCAAAATGTCCGTGTGAGATTGTCATTGTCTAGTGCTTTGAAAATTGTATAATTTGGACCAATCAGATTAGCCATGGTAATTAAGAAATGTAATTTTGTGTTTATAGTCGGACAGTAATTATCAAGTACGGAAGACCAACCAGAATACAATTTAGTTGCATTATTTGAGTTCAGCATTGTTCTCCGCTGTTAAGGCCTTTACTTTTTTGAAAAACACATATGGAGAAGTTAATTTGAGTTTTCAATTTCAACTGAGAAGGGTACCTACTAGTAACAGTATCATCTTATGAAATTTAACTACTGCTAAACTTTAATTTATATGATCTTATTTTTTATATTAATTTCAGTTATGACATTTTTCCATAAATGAAATATCAAAATTAATAATAAAATGAATGGAAATACAAATAACACAGTAAAATGTAATAAATGTACATAAAATTATAGTATTTTATGTACACTTCTGATAAAATTTCATAAGAAAGGTACCTAAATTAATTAGATACCATTTTCTTATGAAATTTAATCTCACTATTAACAGTCTTATTTTTTAATTTCTTTATATTTTCCATAAAAACATCGTAAACGTAAAAATGAAAGCTAAGTACAAAAAAAAAAAAAAATAAAAAAAAAAAAAATTAGAGCGCTTGAAAGTTTTCCTTAAAAGTAACAAGGTAAATAATTTGTTCACTTAAATAATTTCACCTCCTTCCATCCGTAGAAAGAATTATCCTCCCGTAAGTTATCTAAACGTCATGAATGTGCCTTTCGTCAAGCGCGCGAAAGGTTATGACCTGCTTTGTTTTATTTTCAAATTACATTTTTCGGGCGCAGAAGCTAATTTAAGCTTGGTTCAAAATATTTTAAATAAACAGTATAATATCTGTTTTTATTAAAATCAGTTTTGAAAAATGATAATTGATTTTTAAAAGAATATCAAAGTAAGATTTTAATCTTTTTATCAAATCGAAAAAAAAAGAAAAATGATTGATT